AACAGAGTAAAATATACTGCTTATAAGTGACTCACACTTTAGCTTTAAAACCACACATAGGCTTAGTGTGAAGGGATAGAAAAAATATTTCAAGCAAAAATTCAGGAATAGCTGTGATTATATCAGACAAAAGAAACTTTAACATAAAAAATGGTAAAAAGAAACAAATGTCATTATATAATAAAGTGTCAATCCATCAAGAAGAAATAAAAACTGTACACAATCAACATCAGAGCACATAAATATATAAACACTAAACTAAAAAACAGCAAAAAACATAATTGGTAATACCCCACACGCAACAATGTATAGATCCTCAAGACAAAGAACTGATAAGGAAACAGCAGATTTGAAATACACTATAGATCAAATGAACCATATAAGCACACCTCAGACATACTGCGTGTTTAATTCCAGACCGCTGAAGAAAAGCAAATGTCACAATGAAGTCACACAAATTTTTGATTTCCCAGTGCATATAAAGGTTGTTTACATGAACCTATAGTCTATTAAATATATGACAGCATGTCTAAAAGAAAAATGTACATACCTTAACTGAATGTGACACAAAGACACAAAGTCAGCACATGCTACTGGGAAAATGGAGCTGACAGACTTGCTCCATGCAGGAGATTGTTGCCACAAACCCTCAATTTGTAAAAAGCACAATATCTGCAAGGCACAATAAAGCAAAACACTATAAAAGAAGGTGTACCTGAATTGAACAATCTGACAAAAGTAGAATACACATTCTTCTCAAGCACGTTTTCTAGACAAGTCATATATAAAGGTACAAAGACTGAAATCACACCAAGTATCTCCTTTAGCCACAATGGTATGAAATTAGAAATCATAATAGTTGGAAAACACAGATATATGGAACTTTCGTGTGCAGCAATGGATCAAAGTAGAAATTAAAGTTGAAATTTGAAAGTATCTTGCGGAGAAATAAAAATGAAAATGGAGGGACAGTATACCAAAATACATGATGCAGCACAAGCAGTTCAAAGAGGTAAGTTTAAAGCTATAAATGCATACATCAGGAAAATTGAATAATCTCAAAGAAACTACTTTTAAACCTCAGGAAACTAGAAAAAGTAGAACAAACTAAGTTCAAAGATAGCAGAATGAAGGAAATAATGATTAGAGAACAGGAAAATAATTGAAAAGATTAATAAAACTAAGAGTTAGCTATTTGGCAAGACAATACATTGACCAAGAAAAAAAGACCCAAATTAAAAAAAAAAAAAAAAGAAAAAGGAGTTATTACAATATCACAGAAAGGTAAACAATCCAATGAGTCTACTTTGAACAATTATATGCCAACAGATAGGACATCCAAGTAAAAAATGTATAAACTCTTAGAAACATACAACCTACCGGGCCTCCCCGGTGGTGCAGCGGTTGAGCGCTGGGTTGCGAAGCTGCCCGCAGCCTCTGCAGCGCCAGTTCGATCCCTGGCTGCTCCTCGGCCACTGGAGGAGGGTCCCACATGGCGCGCAGACCTCTCCTGCCGCCCGCTGCTCCCCTCAGCGGTGTGTTTCGTCAGTCTGCCTGTTCTGCTCCCCGCTCTGGCTCTGGTGAATTCTCTCACCCTCCCGCGCTTCTGACTGTACCCAGTGCTTGTATAAATAAATAAATAAATAAATCTTTAAAAAAAAAAAAGAAACATACAACCTACCAAGACTTAATCACGAAAAAACAGAAAGTCTGAACAGACCAGTACTAGTAAGGAAAGTAAATTGATAATCAAAACTCTTCTATTGAAGACCAGACAGCTTCTACTGGTGGTTTTTACCAAACATCTAAAAAAGAATACCAGTCTTTCTCAGAAAGAAAAATAGAACAGCAGGGAATGATCCCAAACTTATTTTATGAGAGCAGCATTACCCTGCTACCAAAGCCACATAAAAACACTACAAGAAAATTACAGTCAGTCCTCCCTGGTGGTGCAAGGGGTTAAGATGAAACCTATGAAGCTGTCCACAGCCTCTGTAGGCCGGTCAGGGAGCAACCCACATGGTGCAGCAGACCTCTCCTGATTCACTCACTGCTCCCCTCAGCAGTGTACTTCCATCAATCTGCCTCTTCTGTTCCCCACTGTCTCCAGTGAATCCTCTCACCCCCACATACCTCTGGCCTGTGTCCCAGCTCTTGTACTGGAAGGAGGGAGGGAAGAAGGAAGGAAGGAAGGAAATTACAGTTCATGGCCTCCCCAGTGGCCTGCGGATTAAGTTTCAGTATTATCACTGCTAAGGCCTGAGTTCTATCCCCACCCAGGGAGCTAACCCCCATATGGTGCAGCAGACCTCTCCTGCTTCACCCCCTGATCCCAGGTTAGCAGTGTATTTCAGTACATTGGCCTGTTCTGCTCCCCACTGTCTCTGGCGGATCCTCTCACCTCCCCATCCACACCTCTGGCCTGCACCCCGGTTCTTCTTTGCAAAAATAAAGAAAATATCAAAGAAAGAAAATTACAGGGCCTCCCCGGTGGAGCAGCGGTTGAGCGCTGGGCTGCGAAATTGTCCGCAGCCTCTGCAGTGCCAGTTCGATCCCTGGCCACCGGCAAGGGTCCCACATGGTGCGCAGACCTCTCCTGCCGCCGTCTGCCTGTTCTGCTGTCTGCTCTGGCTCTGGTGAATTCTCTCACCCTCCCGTGCTTCTGACTGCACCCAGTGCTTGTATAAATAAATAAATAAATGAATGAATAAATAAATGAATCTTTAAAAAAAATGCATCAAGGGGCAAGAAATAAAATTATTAAAAAAAAGAAAGAAAAAAAATTACAATCCAATATCCCTAATGAATAGAGAGGCAAAAACTCTCACAGAAATACTAATAATATGTTGGCAACACATTAAAGGATCATTCATCATGATAAAGTGGGATTTATTTATGGGATGCAAAGGATCATTATCTGCAAATCAATAACTGATATATCACAATAGTGGTGTGAGAGATGAAAGTTATTCAGTCTTCTCAATAAACACAAAATAATATTTAACAAAATTCAACAGCTAGAGGGTTGTGTTCCAAGATGGCAGAATATGAAGAGCTTCTGTTTAGTCTATCCCACAATCACGATGAATCTCTACCTAGAAATGGATTAATCTACACAAACTTGAAACTTGAATGAATACAGATTCCACAACAAAACATGAAAATGCAGCACAAAGATGGATAGAAGAGATAAACAGATGCTCTCACCAAGGAAGAAACACCACTGTAAGAACAAGGTGCAATTGGATGTGGAACATTTCTCTGGGAGCAGGGGAAACATCACCTCACACCTGTTAAGACAGCTATTATCAAAAAGACAAGAGTTAACTAGTACTGGGGAGGATGGGTGAAGAGAATCCAGGTACACTCATGGTGGTAATATAAATTTGTGCATTCATTTTAGAAAACAGTATAAAGAATCCTCAAAAAATTAAAATAAGATCCTGCATGTGATTGAAATCCCATTTATCAGTATAATGAGTACATTTATCCAAAGGAAATAATCACTATCTCGAAGACAGTACACTCCCATGTTCATTGCAGCATTACTCACAATAGCCAAGATGTGCTAACAACTTAAACATCCACCACCAGATGAAAAGATAATGTTGTGTATACATACAATGGAATATTATTCACCAAAAATATTTTTTAAAATCCTGACATTTATGAAAACATGGAAAAACATGGAACACATTATGTTAAGTGAAATAAGCCAAACACAGAAATACAAAATACTTTATAATCATATATGTGCAATCTGAAATACCCAAACTCAGATACCAGAGAATAGTACAGTGATTGCCAGGGGCTCAGGGATAGGTGAAATGGTGATATGATGGTAAAAGAGAACAACTTTCAGTTAAAAAATGAGATAGTTAAGGGGATATAATGTTTTAGTATGGTGATAAAAATTAATATTGTATATTTAAAATTTCCTATTAAGAGTAGATCTATAGTGCTCTCACAATAAAAAAAGTTAGTACTATGTGAGGTAATGGATATGTTAATTTGATAATGGTAATCACATTACATCTTGATGTTGTATATCACCAAGTCTATTAACCTTTTAAAATCATAATGTAAATATATACCATTTTTATTTGTCAAATGCATCTTAAAAAGCTTGGGGGAAGTATATTGTCCTTTGCATGTATATACATAGTAACAACTGAGAGTATGATTATTTCAAATCTTTCATAGCATGTAAGAAAGTACACCTACGAAAATTTTATAAAGTGATTGTTATCTCATTTAACTCTCATGATGTTATATGGAAATAGTGTTCTGATCACCTTGTTATAGACATGGAAAATCAGGATCATAAGTGTTTGTGGAAATCCGGATCATAAGTACATAGAAGCAGGAAGGTAGTTTAAACTCAGGGTCACTATAAATTATGAATGTTGTGCATCCACAGGGGCACCATTCATAGCATAGATGTCAACAGAGCAGAAAGTGTCACATTCTAAAAAAACATGTATTTTTCTATATTTTGTTCCTCTCACCTTTTTAAAGATTTATTTATACAAGAACTGGGGTACAGGCCAGAGGCGCGGGAGGGTGAGAGGATTCACCGGAGACAGAGAAGGGAGCAGAACAGGCAGAAGGACCGAAAAACACACCTGAGGGGAGCAGCGGGCAAGACGGGAGAGGTCTGCCGTGCCATGTGGGAATCTCCCTGCCCGGCTGGGAATCGAACCCACACTGCAGAGGCTCTGGACAGCTTCACAGCGCGGCGCTCAACCTGCTGCGCCACCGGGGAGGCCCATGTTCCTCTCCTGATTCTAGTAAGGATGCCAAATCAGTAGCAGTGGTACTATTAAATCCATTCATTTAATAAGCATTGTCTGTTATGTGACCAGCACTGTGCTTTGTTCCACGAATATAAACATGACATTCCAGTATCTGTCCTTGGAGGGCTCACAAACAATAATGTAGATCAAAAAATAAAACAACCAAATCCCAGTAAAATTTGAGAAGTTCTACATAAGGATATGCAGGGAGTGCAATGTAAAAACTGAGTAGTGCTAACGAAGTTGGTGTAGGAATAATAAGGAAATAGTTTATACAAGCAGTGAAGTTTAAACCACACTTTGAGGATTAGTAGGGGTTAGCATGCTTAACAGTGGGAAAAAAATGAATTTCTATGGAAATAAAAAAACAGCCTTATGCTGGGAAGCAAAAGATAAAATGGTTAGTTTAAGAAAAGGAAAGAGCTAGACAGGGCTGAGTAAAGCAAAATAACATCACTTTTTTTTAAATTGCAAATCAAGGCTCTTTGCAACTTATGGTATAATATACAATATGATGCCTAGATATTGTTTAGCGATTTCACGTTTTATTTTTTTTTAAAGATTTATTTATTATTTATACAAGCACTGGGTACAGTCAGAAGCGCGGGAGGGTGAGAGAATTCACCAGA